ACTACCTTAAAGACGAATTGGTCTTTTATTTAAAAAAAAAAACTTTATAGTACAAATGGTTATTTCTTAAATTTCTTAACAAGTTCGGAAATTTTTTAAAGTGCTACTTGGGGCTCAAGTTTGTTTTATTGAAAATAGTTTCCCTAATCTATATTATGTTTTAAAGTTTCTTAAATTTTATGGCAAATTTGGTGTTGTTGTCTTTTACATTTTAAAAAAGTTTTTAAAACTTTTTTTTAAAAGAATTTTTAAAAATTTTCCCTTTTAATTGTTTTGTCTTTTATGTTTATTTTCCCATTGTTATTATTTTTTTGCTAGTATTTAGCTTATTTTTATGGTTTTTTAGCAACGAATGGCTTAAAACTTTTAATAAAACTTTAGCATGCTAGAGTTAAGAAGGCAAACAGATAAAAAACTTTATAACTTATATTAGTTTGGTCGCAATAATTATTATATTTTTTTTTGTATTAGTTTTAAGTGAAGTAATCCATTTCTTTTGTTAATAAAGTTAAAGAAGTATTAAAAAAACTATAAAATAAAAAACAGAAAAATTGTTTTATTTTGAAGAAGAATAATAAGAAATGAGCAAATTGATGGAAAATCTTCATCTGAAAGTATTACTGATTACAATTTCTCTATAGTCCTGACTCTGGACTAGACTAAAGTTCAAACTATAGTTCAATCTATGGACTATATTATAGTAAAGTTTATAGGTCAGATTATAAACTATAGTGTAGACTATAGTCTACACCATAGAGTAGACTATAGTCTAGACTATAGAGTAGACTATAGTCCAGACTATAGTCTACTCTATGACTATATTCCAGACTATAGAGTAGACTATAGTACAGATTATAGAGTAGACTATAGTCCAGACTATAGAGTAGACTATAGTCCAGACTATAGTCTACTCTATGACTATATTCCAGACTATAGAGTAGACTATAGTACAGATTATAGAGTAGACTATACTCCAGACTATAGAGTAGACTATACTCCAGACTATAGAGTAGACTATAGTCCAGACTATAGAGTAGACTATAGTCCAGACTATAGACTATATAATAGACTACAATATGTACTATAGACTAGACTATAGGCCAGGCCATAGACTAGAATATAGTCCAGGCTAGAGTACAGTCCATATAGACTATAGACTAAACAATAGTCCCGACTTTCCAAAATATTACTGATTACAATTTCCAATAGTCCAGATTACAAACTATAGTGTAGACTATAGTCAAGACGATAGAGTAGACTATAGTCCCGACTATAGACTAAATTATAGTCCCGACTATAGACTAAACTATAGTCCCGACTATAGTCTAAACTATAGTCCCGACTATAGTCTAAACTATAGTCCCGACTATAGACTAAACTATAGTCCCGACTATAGACTAAACTATAGTCCCGACTATAGACTAAACTATAGTCCCGACTATAGACTAAAATATAGTCCAGACTGTAGACAAAGCTATAATACTGATTATAGACTAGATTATAGTAAAGACTAGACTATATTCCCGACTATAGACTTTACTATTGTCGAGACCATAGACTAGACTATAATCCAGACTAAAGACTAGACAATAGTACATACCGTAGACTGGGCTATAGTCCAGACTATAGACTAGACTATAGGCTAGACTACAATCGAGAGTTTAGACTATACTACAGTCCACATTATAGTTCAGACTCTCTTTAATGAAAATCCAACACCCTGTACTTTATTTTACACAATATTTTTTTAATAAGTTTTCGTTTTTTTTTTTATTATTATTATTTTTATAAACATTTCTTTTATAAACTTATACTAACTACTTGACGATTAGAAAAAAAATAAAGAAAGACAAACGTAAACACAAATACTTTACTATTTGTTACAAGAGTTTACACCTAATAAAAGAGAAAAGAAGAAAAAAATCTCCATGTTAATCAACTAGCATCAATAGAATAGAAAACCAAACATATTATTTCTACAGTTTTGATTACATCACTTTTTGTCCTTTTCCTCCTCCTCCGAGGCACGATTTTTACGTTTCAATTTATCAATAATGGATTCTATGCTATTGGCATCGACTAGACCAATAAATTTATCCACTACGACACCATTGCGAAAAGCTAAGACGGCGGGAACCGCTTTCACTTCGAATGTTTCCACTAAATCCGTATTGTTTTCCACATCTATAATGGCCAAATCGATTTCGTTGGAATCCTGTAAAAGTTCCTCCATTTTGGGTGTTAGAATTTTGCAGGGATCACACCATTCAGCATGGAAATTGACTATAACGGGTATATCACTATTAATGACCTTGAAAAGGGGGAGAGAGAGAGAAAGAGAGCAGATTTTGGTTAATTTTTGAAAAGGTCAGTGTGTTTTTAGGTAAAGTGTACGTGCTTAAAATCATGAATATGGGAAAATTATGTTTTCTCAAGTTTTTTTGTTTTTTGTGTTTATTTTAAGGTAAAATTTATTCAGGTTGCATAATTTTTGTTTACTTTTATTTACGATAAACAAAAACAATAAGTCAGCTGGGTAAACAATGAAAAAAAGAACTGTTATATTAGTAACAAGAGAGAATGAGAGAAAAACTTTTAATTATCACTTAAAAATAAAAGGAAAAACATCACAGGTAAACAATATGACAATTAAATGAGAAACGTAAACAAATCCGTAAAACCGTTATTATGATGAAATGAAACACTCATAACAAAATGTAAATAAAGAAAAAAGTGTAAAACAGGATTGATGAAAAGATCAGCAATTAAAAAGTAAATGTTAAAACAAATGATAAGCGAGAAAGTACAGCGTAAAGTACACAAAAATTACCAAAAATAGAAAATAAACAAAAAGAAATAAAAAGAAAAATTTAGAAACTTAATAAAAATACTAAAAACTAAACTAAATAAAGGAAAATAAAAACAAACAGACAAATTATGTTAAAAAACTAAAAACACTAACAATTTAAAATAAAAACCGTCTATCACAAATACCATAAGACAGTTTATACAATAATTTCCAATTTTATCACTGCCAAATGAATTTAACCTTCATAAGTTTTAAAATTTTCTTTTATTTAATCTCTATTCATACTCACTTTTCGATCAAATTCATAATGATCTTTAACAACATATTTTTTCAAGGCCGTCTGTGATTGTGATAAACATTTTTGGGTGGCTGTCACAGCTAAGGGTGCTAAACGTTGACAGGCATTCTGGGCACTGGTCGAGGTTTGTATGCAAGACACCAAACGTGGCATAACACCTTCTGCCGCTATTTTCAACATTATTCCTTATGGTAGTAGCAACAAACTGTTTGGAAAAAACTGCATAAGGTTAATAACTCTGTTATCAAATACATACCTACATAATTGAAAATAAATTAATCTAATAAATTAAAAAACCAGATAAGATTAAAAATCCTCCATGGCTTCACTAACAAAAAACGTGCACATTTTTATAAAATTTTATTTGTATTAAAACGCAAACATAATTTTTGCATAATTTATTTAAATTATTGTTTTATATTTAAAACATTACACTATCAAAACACCCTTTACCCCTTCCATAAAAACACTAAAAAGATGAGTGTATATTTTTGTAAGTTTTTTTCTTTACACTAGATGAGGTAATTTGAAGTTGTACATTCTTATATCTTATTTAAATTTGTATTATTACTTACTTATTTTATATAATTGTTTTAGTTTGTTATTGATTTTTTACGTTTTATTTAATATTTTAATTATTTTTTACAAAACAAAAATCTATTATGTTTTATTATTCCATATGAAAACAAAGTGTAGAAATAAAATTTTATGTGAAATGTCAAATGAGAGGGGAAATTTTTTTGTCAATGAAAAAAAAAAAAAACAATGACAACTGATAAAGATTAAAGTTGCCAGATGGTTGGTTAAAGGGTGTAAACAGTTTGAAAGCAACTGGAACAAAATAATTTTATTTGTGAAAATACACGTTTTTAATAAATATTTAAAAAATACTATGGACTAGACCCTCTACTAGACTAGATTAGTTAGACTATAGATTAGAACATAGATCTGACTAAAGACTCGACTAGAATTTAGTCCAGATTAGACTATATTTAGACTAGACTGGACTATAGATTAGACTATAGACTAGACTATAGATTAGACTATAGACTAGACTATAGATTAGACTATATACTGGACTATAGACTAGATTGTAGACTAGACTATAGACTAGACTATAAACTAAACTACAGATTAGACTATATACTAGACTATAGACTAGACGTTAGACTAGACTATAGACTAGGCTATAGACTAGACTATAAACTAAACTACAGATTAGACTAGACTATATACTAGACTATAGACTAGACTGTAGACTAGACTATAGACTGGACTGTAGACAAGACTAAACTATAGACTAGACTATAGACTGGACTGTAAACAAGACTAGACTAAAGACTTGACTAACGACTAGACTATAGATTTGACTATAGACTAGAATATAGAGTGGACTATAGACTGAACTATAGACAAGACTGTAGACAAGACTAGACTAAAGACTAGACTATAGACTAGACTAAAGACTAGACTATAGACTAGTCTAAAGACTAGACTATAGACTAGACTATAGATTAGACTATAGATTAGACTATAGACTAGACTATACTATAGACTAGACTATAGACTAGACTATACTATATACTAGACTAGTCTTTAGACAAGACTATAGACTAGACAATAAACCAAACTATAGACTAGACTAAAGACTAGACTATAGACTAAACTATAGTCTAGACTACATAGTGGACTATAGTCCAGACAACAGACTATAGTCCATACTATAGACTAGACTACGCTATAGATTGTAGACTAAACTATAATCTAAACTATAGACCAGACTACTGATCCGTCGAAAGTACAGACTATAGTCCAGACTATGCATTATACTGTAGACTAGAAGATTGACTAAACAATATACCAGATTATTGTTCAGACTACTGATCAGTGAACATAATTTTATGTTTCAACACATTTATTGGCCGTATTGAGTATTTCCTTATTACAATAAATATTAAAAATAATACTTTAATTAATTCAAAATAAATTTTGAAATAACAAATCCGGATGAGATAAAGTTTTCTTCAAATTTCTAACACTTATGCGATTACGCTGGTTTTTACGATCCGAAGTGCATCTAAAACGGAAAGTAAACAGTCAATGAGATAGAGCTATATATATAGAGAGAGAGGAGAACAACTATGCAGGATTATGATGGTTATGGATAAAGGAACGTGGTAAAGGTGTTGGTGCTGTATTTGTAATAGTATCTAGACTTTGGCTAAAACTTTGAAATATAAATGAAAAATTAGAAGTTTTTAAAGATCTATAAATCAAATCAAAAAAAAAAACTCACTCAAATATTTTTTGATGATATTCGATCATGATTTTAACACAATCGGCTAAAATTTCACTTTCTTTTAGGAGCAGGTGTATGTCTTGTATGCGAGCACCCGCTTGTACGGTATGAAATATGGAGGGTGTTACCGATAATGATAAAGTTTCGGCACTTATATGTTGTAAAGGTACTTTGGTTAATCTAGTAACGAAGAAAAAGATAAAGTAAAACAATTAAATTTTATATGGGTTACTTAGATAAGATCGCCATTTGGTTTAAGTCTTAGCTAAACTTACTTATTGAAATGAGCAAATAAATATTCCATTGTATCACGATTGATTTCCGGCAGCGAACGTATCAGTCTTTTTAATATTTCCAATTTATTGGGTAAATCAGTTAATACTAAGATTGGGCAAATCAGTTAATACTAAGATCAAATAAAAATTAAAATTTTATTTTACTACTTACACCACTGATTGGGTTTGCCTATAAAGGTTTTAGCTTCATTGGCCGATACTAGAGGACTTTTAATTTCTCTTAGAAATAACTTCAACACCCCTGCCAAAGTATGTATGTCTACATTAGGTTGTCTTAGCGACATATAGTCATTGGCATCTATGCTAAACCTTAAGGCCTGCATTTTATTGTAGTCACCACATTGTCGATAAATACCCTCAATGGGCTCTGTAGATTTACGATACTTTTCCTCTATCAGTTGACAACAATCGACCACTATTTTGGGCACTGTTTTATGTACTTCATCTTTTAGGACCAATTCGATTTCGGTATCGAAACAGGGTTCGTCTAAAAGAGATTAAAATACTTAATTAATATTAATATAGCAAATAGTCAGGTCCATAATCTGGACTATAATTGGCCGTATAGTTTATTTTATAGTCTGGCCTACAGTTTTGTTTAAAGTCTGAACTAAAGTCTAGTCCAAAGCCTGAGCTATAGATTAGTCTAAAGTCTGGACTACAATTTTGTCTGCAGACTGGACTAGAAAATATTCTTGTCTAAAGTCTGGACTATAGTCTAGTTTCTAGTCTAGTCTATAGTCTGGTATGTAGTCTAGTCTAAAGTCTGACCTATACTCCAGTCTTTAATCTGGTCTATAGTCTGAAATAAGTTTCAATTTTTATTACTCACCATTATAAATATTTTGTTCCTTTAAGGTCTGTATACTAGGCCTTTGTTTCCAGAAATTGGACAGCTTTAACCAGGCAGCCAATTTTGAAGGCTGTACCGTGGTTTGATTCGCTCCCACAGTAGAATCTTTTTTCACCAGTCTCATACTACTGCTAGTCTTCTTGCGTTTATTTTGCATTTCCTGTTGCTCTTTAGAGAGTTGTTCAAATTTCTTAGATAAATCCTCCATTTGAAGAGACATGGCCTTGGATGTGTTTTCCTGTTCTTGCAATTGTTTTTGTAAATCTTCTAGTTTCAACTCCAATTTCTGTAAACGTTTGGCACATTGTGTAGAAGAACAATTTGTGGCATAAGAGGAAGAATTGGAGGAAGAAGAGCAGGAGGAGGTAGATATTTTATTTAAATCAGTAGAAGAAGCGGAAGATAAAGGAGTATTTGGTGTTTGATTATTTAAATCCATTTCGTATAGTTTTCTTAGATCCCGGGTACTGGAACTTTTAAGTAAAGTCAATTTTATGGGTCTAGGACGAGGCTCTTTAAGTAGAACTACACCTTCGTGGCGATAGTTTAAAGGTTTATTCGTTATTAGACCGTTAACACGTGTGAGATTACTGTTCGAGCGCGTATAACTGGGAGTACGATCGCGAAAACAATTCATAATGTTTTTCTGGCCTCTACGTTCGTTGGCGGCTGAGCCTGCATTGGCGATAAGAATGCCCGCAGAATCTGGTGTCGTTGGCAAATGATGAGAGAATGAATTGTTGTAAAATGTTGCTTGCTGCTGCTGCTGCATTGTGTTTTTTTTTTTTTGTATTAATAATTTAAAGCCTCTAAAGTGCTAATAAGGGAAGTAATGGGCGGTAAGGAGATTTGGTATTACTCGTATGTTTTTGTTGTTTGTTTTTGTATTATTCTTACATCAACTACTTGCGGTCAGTGATGTGTTTTTTTTTATCGAATATTTTT